ACCATTCTAAAGTTTTCAGCTCTGGTCAGATAAAAATTTAAAGGATACCGTGATGAATCGAATATGCCAATTTTGAAATAGAGGGGCCCTTAATATTACTTCTACAGTCCCTTAATATTACTTCTACAGTCCCTTAAAATTACTTCTACAGTCCCTTAAAATTACTTCTACAGTCCCTTAAAATTACTTCTACAGTCCCTTAAAATTGCTTCTACAGTCCCTTAATATTACTTCTACAATCTCTTAAAATTACTTCTAAACTCCCTAAGTATTACTTCTACAGTCCCTTAATATTACTTCTACAGTCCCTAAATATTACTTCTACAGTCCCTTAATATTACTTCTACAGTCCCTTAAAATTACTTCTACAGTCCCTTAATATTGCTTCTACAGTCCCTTAATATTACTTCTACAGTCCCTAAATATTACTTCTACAGTCCCTTAATATTACTTCTACAGTCCCTTAAAATTACTTCTACAGTCCCTTAATATTGCTTCTACAGTCCCTTAATATTACTTCTACAGTCCCTAAATATTACTNTAGCTATATAAAGCTACCAAAATTACTGTTTAATACTAGGGTTGGGTAAGGGCGGTGTATAGGGCCTAGATATATATTATTATTAATATTGATCGACTAATTGACCATGAAACTAATAGACATATCAGATACTGCATCCCAGCTACTCTAGTCAGCTGCTCAACATATCAGATACTGCATCCCAGCTACTCTAGTCAGCTGCTCAACATATCAGATACTGCATCTCAGCTACTCTAGTCAGTTGCTCAACATATCAGATAGTGCATCCCAGCTACTTTATTCAGCTGCTCAACATATCAGATACTGCATCCCAGCTACTCTAATCAGCTGCTCAACATATCAGATACTGCATCCCAGCTTCTATAGTCAGCTGCTCAACATATCAGATAGTGCATCCCAGCTACTCTAGTCAGCTGTTCAACATATCAGATACTGCATCCCAGCTACTCTAGTCAGCTGCTCAACATATCAGATACTGCATCCCAGCTACTATAGTCAGCTGCTCAACATATAAGATACTGCATCCCAGCTACTCTAGTCAGCTGCTCAACATATCAGATACTGCATCCCAGCTACTATAGTCAGCTGCTCAACATATCAGATACTGCATCCCAGCTACTCTAGTCAGCTGCTCAACATATCAGATACTGCATCCCAGCTACAATAGTCAGCTGCTCAAAATCATGTCACAAAATATTTGAATCCATGGTAAACATAAATATCTTGCGTAACTAAAAATAAAAATATGCAAGGCTTTCGCGCTAATTCGAACAAGATTTATCCAATTACTTCTATAAAATTAAAGCTAGCACAGTACAGTTTAATAATGTTTATGTTCAAGTGAGTTGGTTATGTAAAACCAAAGCCCAAGGTGTTACGACACTTCAAAGTCGACGCGGTCTATAAATATTATGCACAACTTTCATGGTTGTCTAGATATATTATTATATAATATAATAATAGAATTATAGCAGTGGCATGTCCGATTTACATCAATGCCCGTTAAACCCATGAGAGAATAGAATATATAGAGAGGAATTAAAAGAATCTCTCGGTATGAATTTTTTCAGTCCCTTTCAGCCTGAAAGGGAGTTCAAAGTGTACAAATCATGTAAATGTTCACAAATTATATGCAGTAGAGTACATTAATACAGTATGTTCCCTAGACTATTCATTTCAATTTCGAAATTTTTAAAGCTGTTAAATAAACTTTATAATGAATTAGGTGAATAAAAACATCATTTGATTTATAGTTATAACGGAAAATCATCGTTTGTACAGTGGAAGGCATAGAGTCTATGTGAAATGATCATTGGTCAATTATGAAACCAGCCTATTTCATAATTTGGTTTTCTTTTAACAATAATTTTAGATTTTCTAAAAAATGATATTCCAGGGCCCAACAGGTTATATAGCACAAATATCTGAAGTACACCTGCAGTATGGAAACAGTACAACAAAATGGCCGTTTTACACTTTTTTCTAGTAAATTCCTCTCTATATATTCTATTCTCTATGGTTAAACCTCTCTCTGAGTATTATACGCAAGGTTATAATGCAAGGAAAGTTAATCTGTCTTGTGTTTACATTACCGCCCAGAGACAGTACACTATAACAGTACAAAAGATGCGTACACTTCTGAAATAGCTTTCCTTGCATTACATCCTTGGGTATATATTTCATACTTACTGAGGGTCATTTGAAATTGCTTCCACACTAACAGTCCGTTTAAGGGCGTAAAGCAGCATACATGTAAATAATCTATTTAAAAAATACCCTTTGAGGCTTTGATATGAACAACAACATTATCATTATCTAATTCCAACTATCAAAACATTCCGTTGAAGCTGATTATGGATTGGTATATTCTTGTATATCCATGTATATCCAAGTATTATGTATATTTTCATTTAAATGCAGATTATTGTACGAAACATGACAATAGGTGAATAGTTTTGAATGTCTTATTCCACATACTGTATTAGATAATAAAGACTTTTTGCAGTTTATTTCTAGCTTTAAAAAATGTTTAACTCGTATATGTTTTACTGTAAAATCAATTTTACTATAATATAACTGTCATATAAAAGATTTTATTAGTCTCTTTAGTTTCAAACAGCTTATCAAATTATGAAAGAAGACATTTTAAACTATTCACAAACTGTCATGTTTCGTGGGACACCCTGTAGATTACAAACATTCATCAATAAAATTTATCTATCTATCTATCTATCAATCTATCTATTTATCTTTCTATATATATCTATCTATCTACGAATCTATCTATCTATCTATCTATCTATCTATCTATCTAGCTATATATCTCACTATCTATTTACCTAACTATCAATTTATCTCTATGCATCTCCTAAGATTAAACTAATGTTTCATTCTATCAAATTATACATCCCTCGACCTAGGATGGACTTGTTTATATATCTGTCTATCTTTCTGTATGTCTATCTATCTGTCTTTCTATCTGTCTATATGTCTATCTGTATATCTGTCTATCTGTCTATCTGTATATCTGTCTATCTGTCTATCTGTCTATCCGTCTATCTGTCTATCTGTCTATCTGTCTATCTGTCTATCTGTCTATCTGTCTATCTATCTGTCTTTCTATCTGTTTATCTATCTGTCTTTCTATCTGTCTATCTGGCTACCTAATTATCTGTCTATCCGTATATTTGTCTATCTAACTATCCGTCTTTTTGTCTATCAAACTATCCGTTTATCTGTCTATCTTTCTGTATGTCTATCTGTCTATCTATCTGTCTTTTAATCTGTCTATATCTGTCTATCTGTCTATCTGTCTATCTGTCTATCTGTCTATCTNCACCCTCCCCCACTCCTCTTCAGTCTTCCGTTCTTCCATAAATGCCTATTTTTTCCTGACGTTCTAAAGTTTTCTCCAGAGAGAGAAAGATTGATCTGAACCTGAACCTCCCAAGCTCCCGCAGTTCAGATCTCTATACTAGGTTCCAGGGGTTCAGTTATATCTTCATTACTTAGATGTTGGTGAGTTCTCATGTGTGTTTAGGTTTAATGCTTTTAAAACAGATTTTTCAAGCTAGAAGAAAGTATAAATAAAGGAAGGTTTAGTAATGGAAAGAAAGGGGTTGCGGAATTAAGGATAGGACGGAGAAAATGAGAGTTGAGTCGGTCGGGCTGCGGAAGCTTGTATATAGAGAAAAAGGACGAACGTCTTTATGAAAAAAGGAGAAGGAGGAGAGATAGAAGGATAGAAAAAGATATTAATCAAGCATTTATGGATGGATCGGAACCTAAGCCGGAGTAAACTGGGATAGAGAGCAGAATGTAAATGGACGGAAGGAGAATTTTTTGAAGAAAACTAAGATAGAGGAAGGAGAGATAGGGAAATATCGGGGAAAGTAAGGTAGAACTAAGAAGAGTAGGATAGAGGAAGGAGAGATAGGGAAATATCGGGGAAAGTAAGGTAGAACTAAGTAGAGGAGGATAGAGGAAGAAGAGATAGGGAAATATCCGGGAAAGTAAGGTAGAACTAAGAAGAGTAGGATAGAGGAAGGAGAGATAGGGAAATATCGGGGAAAGTAAGGTAGAACTAAGTAGAGGAGGATAGAGGAAGAAGAGATAGGGAAATATCCGGGAAAGTAAGGTAGAACTAAGAAGAGTAGGATAGAGGAAGGAGAGATAGGGAAATATCGGGGAAATTAAGGTAGAACTAATAAGAGTAGGATAGAGGAAGGAGAGATAGGGAAATATCGGGGAAATTAAGGTAGAACTAAGTAGAGTAGGATAGAGGAAGATTGAACTGAGAAAAGTATAGTGGAGGAAAATAGAAAGGAGTAAGTGGGATATAGGTAAGGTAGGATGGAGAGAAGATATGACGGAGAAATATGATTAGGGAAGGTAGGATGGGGAGAAGATATGATGGAGAAATATGATTAGGTAAGGTAGGATGGAGGAAAGTAGGATGGGGAGAAGATATGATGGAGAAATATGATAAGGTAAGGTAGGATGGGGAGAAGATATGATGGAGAAAAAAGATTAGGGAAGGTAGGATGGGGAGAAGATATGATGGAGAAATATGATTAGGGAAAGTAGGATGGAGAGAAGATATGATGGAGAAAAATGATTAGGGAAGGTAGGATGGAGGAAAGTAGGATGGGGAGAAGATATGATGGAGAAATATGATTAGGGAAAGTAGGATGGAGAGAAGGTATGACGGAGAAATATGATTAGGGAAGGTAGGATGGGAAGAAGGTATGACGGAGAAATATGATTAGGGAAGGTAGGATGGGGAGAAGATATGACGGAGAAATATGATTAGGTAAGGTAGGATGGAGGAAAGTAGGAAGTTGGAAAGAACACATCTTCAACTAAGCTGTTTGTGTTTACTGCAGTAATCTGCCATACACTGTCCGAAGATATAGCAGCGTTTAGTTGAGAGTGGGAAAGACAGACGGAGAAAAGCAGGATGGAGGGAGGTAGGCTTGAGGAAAGTAAGATGGAGGAAGGTAGGAAGGCGAAAGGATTAAAGGAGAAAGGAAGGACGGAAGGAGGAAGGTAGGACGGAAAAGTAGTATATGATCTGAATGATCTCCCTGGAGCGGAGATATGGTATCTGAACACTAGACAACTTCATATTTGTTCTCAACACAGGGATAAAAAATTGAGCAATTTTTTATAATTTCCTCGTAACGGAAATACAACAGTGGCGGTTATATTCTTCTTTTACCAGCGGACGAACCTTGGAATTAGGCATCCTGAATATTTTTAGATTTAGGCAATTAACTTTAAAATATTTTAGTATAGCTTACTTCATATATATACAAATATGTGGAACTGGCTTTGCTAACATTTATATATAATAGTTTATGATAATCTATAATTTAAAAAACTGTAATATATATATATATATATACTCATTCTCTAGAATTTTACTAGTATTTCTTCTAGATAAAGTAGTTGCAAGAAATATCACTTACACACAAGTTATCCACGAATCTTGACTTGCGAATTTAATAAAATCAGTTTGTATTTTATTGAAACCTTGAATCCCAGAAATGGAAAACATGGATTATTTTAATACTCCGCGGCAGCATGAGTTCGCTATCACGGGCAGCCCTCCTCCGGTCAACCTTTCCGGTCCCAGTTTGTACTGTATCGCCCGGACATTGGGTAAATAAATCAGACACTCAATAGGACTAGCCGGTGCAACAAGGTTGACGCGGATAGACTTTAGGGTGAATTTACTTTTACTTAAGTTTCAGAGGTGCGTGCTGTATATGTATATGTATTTTATATAAATTAGTCCTCTTAAGTCTTTCTTAAAGGGACTGCAAACGGAACTTCATGTAACCCCCGATTAGAGAGTTTCGTGCTCGATTCACAACGTTACCTTTAACACCTCGATCTGAGAAACAATAAAGAAGATGTCGCCGTTCTTCTATATCTAAAAAGTATTGAATTCTTTTAGTTTCCTTCTTTATCTCTGAAGATATTTATTCTGAATATAAGGTGCATATTCTGTATATGTTATCTCTGAAGATTTATATTTTGTATATGATATATCTAAGTTATTTCTGAAGATTAATATTTTTTATTTGATATATCTAAGTTATCTCTGAAGATATATATTCTGAATATAATATATCTAAGTTATCTCTGAAGAAGTATATTCTGAATATGATATCTCTAAGTTATCTCTAAAGGTGTATATTCTGAATATGTTATCTNATATTTTTTATTTGATATATCTAAGTTATCTCTGAAGATATATATTCTGAATATAATATATCTAAGTTATCTCTGAAGAAGTATATTCTGAATATGATATCTCTAAGTTATCTCTAAAGGTGTATATTCTGAATATGTTATCTCTGAAGATATATATTTTGTATATGATATATCTAAGTTATCTCTGAAGAAGTATATTCTGTATGTGATATATCTAAGTTATCTCTGAAGAAGTATATTCTGTATATGATATATCTAAGTTATCTCTAAAGGTGTATATTCCGTATATGATATCTTTCAGTAATCTCTGAAGATTTATATTCTGTAAATGATATCTCTAGGTTATCTCTGAAGGTATATACACTGTATACAGGCGCGCAACTAGGGTGGGGGCAAGGGGGTAAGGCCCCCCTATCCTGATTAAAGGGGGCATGCCCCCCCTCAAAATGTTCAGGGGGCCGGGGCAAGAGCGAAATTTTTTTATATTGCCCCTCTGTAACAAAATGTCTAGTTGCGCGACTGACTGTATGATATTTATAAATTATCTCTGAAGATGTATGTTCTGTATATGATATATCTAAGTTATCTCTGAAAATGTATATTCTGAATATGATATCTCTGAATTATCTCTGAGCAGTTTATTAAATAGATCTGAAGTTAGTTTAGGATTTAAGTGCAAAGTTGCATCTGCTTTTCTCTCAATATTTTTATTTGTTTTAAAACCGACATAAATAACAAATATTTGAGAGACAAACAATTAGAAGAGAGTTGAATATGTTTGTTGAGTTGACTGATATCCCAGGTTTATTGTTTGCTTTGCTTACTGATACTCAGACACACACACACATGCACGGACAAACAAACAAACAAATGTTCAGTAAACATGGTATAAGGTTACGGTGTATATTTAAATGTATTGGTATCACGCTGACAGTCAGCTGGCAGGTTGACCCATCCGTCAGACAAATAGGTAGACAGACAGACAGGTGCCACTCCCCCCCCCCTTCAACAAAAATATGATATTGAGACACTTTAATAACTGTAAAATATAGGAATTAGTTCCGATAAACATCATGAATTAGTTCCAATAAACATCATGAATTAGTTCCGATAAACATCATGAATTAGTTCCGAATTAGTTCCGATAAACATCATGAATTAGTTCCAATAAACATCATGAATTAGTTCCGATAAACATCATGAATTAGTTCCGATAAAACATCATGAGTTAGTTCCGATAAAACATCATGAATTAGTTCCGATAAAAAATCATGAATTAGTTCCGATAAACATCATGAATTAGTTCCGATAAAACATCATGAAATAGTTCCGATAAAACATCATGATTTAGTTCCGATAAAAATCATGAATTAGTTCCGATAAAAATCATGAGTTAGTTCCGATAAAAATCATGAATTAGTTCCGATAAAATATCATGAATTAGTTCCGATAAACATCATGAATTAGTTCCGAAAACCATTTGTATTTAAGCAGAAATAATTTATGATTATTATTTCGTGGCTTTCTCCATTTTTGACGAGTTGAAACGTTTTTCTCTATTTATTGAAAAGTTTTTTTCCCCACACAATAAAGCGAAAACATATTTATGTAGTTTGAACCAGAAAATGTTATGGTTAAAATCATTTCAGTATTATCAGGTTTCGTATTGTCTATCTGTCTCTTTATTCCCCCAGCGGCTGAATCGAATAAGAGCTAAACTTATGTGGGATCTGCCCTGGCCACAAGATTGTTTGTGCCCAGTGAAAAAATCTGCAATCACTTTTGTTTTTTAGGGTTGAATAAAATGGCCATAAGTAGTAAAAGAGAGGCCAAAAAAGCCATTCCAATACCGTTAGAAAAAGGATTGTATAATTAAAAATAAATTAAAATGAAAATCTATTTTGTTAGCTAGATGAACATTGAACATAGATTACATTTCTGTCGCAGTTCTCTGAGAGCATCAACATTCATGTTTAGTTGATGATTGATTAGGAACAGGGAGAACTCTTAGGTTCATCCTGTTCTACATTTCACATGTCAGATATAGTTCATACTCTACATAATACAGAATACAGATACAGTTCATACTTGGATATATAAATACTCTGCATAATACAGATATAGTTCATACTTGGATATATAAATACTCTAATACAGAATACAGATACAGTTCATACTTGGATATATAAATACTCTACATAATACAGAATACAGATACAGTTCATACTTGGATATATAAATACTCTACATAATACAGAATATAGATACAGTTCATATTAGGATATATAAATACTCTACATAATACAGAATATAGATACAGTTCATATTAGGATATATAAATACTCTACATAATACAGAATACAGATATAGTTCATACTAGGATATATAAATACTCTACATAATACAGAATACAGATACAGTTCATACTAGGATATATAATACTGCAATCTAAGAGACAGGGATAGTGAGGTTTAAAAAGACTTAGTTGAACACGGAAACAATTCTCTCCAGGAAGAAAGTATGCTGCAATGAGAATACAGGTTGGAGTAAACTTGAACCTGTAAATATATTTAGAATCTTGAAACTAAACTATGACAATATTTCTCCAGTTGAGAACTCTAAACTGAGTTAGAATATAAATCAAAGTTTAAATAGTTTTGAGTCTAGGATTGAGACGTGGAGACAGAATGAAGTGAGAACAGGAAGCTGTCGATATTTCATTAGAGCCGACAAACCTCGCGGAGCAGAGATAAAGGTGGACCCGGAGGAATTCTGAACCTGGGAAATTTGGAACCATGAACATTCTCAGCTGAACCTGACCAAGGTGTTGAGAAGGGGGGAGGTTGAGGTCCAAAAATATTTGGGTTGTCAGCTTACATCTGCTGAATGAAAAATGGTTAAATATTTTAACTGGGTTGATGTGTGAGTTAACCATATCTAGGATAAGCATTGATAAGTTTTTATTTTGTAAAGTTTACGAGGACCGGAGAAGCCTAGCAATGAAATAAAATCACATTTTTAATTCTTAATTTTTAAGTTTTCAGAAGATTAGGCAATAAAAATGATGACATTAGACTTTTCAACCAAGAACAGAAATATAATTTGATATTTACCGCTGAAGATACTAGAAATCTCAAGGAGTGCCATAAACGGTTCACACCAATACCCTTTAATCATTTTTCTGTACTCAAAGTTAAAAATTGATAATATGCCTCCATGCTATAAGAAAATACACCTCCGTTATAAGATTTTTTACAAAATGTTCGAGCTAAAGAACCGCTCGCAAAGTCGTAATTTTTATCCAGAACAAATTCTCAAAGTTTTGAAGGTTTTAATGAATTCCTTTAATAGAATGAAAAAATTTTAGTTTCTGAATTAACTAATTCCAGATCAAATAAATTGAGTCATTTTCCGTGGGACCCGCCTATTCTGTAGGACACATTTCATAAATTGTGTCTGCGTTTCAATTTCCGACATTTTACAGATATTTAAGAACATTTTTGATACTGTGTTACCCATCATTTGGCTACTTTTTTTGACAGTTCACATTCCGATATCAATAAAATACGCAAGCCTGGAATGAGAAAAGTGGATGATAATGATGTTAGAGAGAAAGTATGATAATTCTAGGATAAGTCGAGATTAGTTTGGATTTACTCCGATATACTAATATATACTTGTCATGAAATACAGAACAGTGATAGATAGATAGATAGATAGATAGATAGATAGATAGATAGATAGATAGATAGATAGATAGAAAATAAATACCGGAAGTTTAAACCCAAGACAAAGCACGGAATGAATGTTTGTTAATGAATGTATTGAGGTTAGAAGAGAAGAGAGCTCTAGGTTGAGCACGCGTTCTCAGCAAATTACTCCTTCCGGAGAAAGGTTTAATGGTCTTAGAACCTGGCGTTTTCTCCATTAAAGGAGCTAAGGTCACAACTATGAATCGTCTGCCTGGATACACAGAATTTACTTCGGGTATAGGAATTATACTGATAAACTCCAGGACGGAAATTACACGGGAAAATAAAGATATATTCTGTATTTGGAGGGTCACGATTAGGGTACAGAGATTAACAGTATGTCTTCAATAAACTTGAAATGCAGCTGGAATTATGCTGAAAATAAATCATGGACTCGTAGAACCAGTCAAGGCATTTTTAGTTTTATACCCCCATCACCTCCCCCTTAGCCCTCCCTCTCCCCTTATATTACAGATTATACGAAAAGGTCAATAAGGGTTAATTTAAACTTGGATTTAAATTTAATGTTGATATTGTTCATGTTAATATTTCTGTTGCTGTTTCTTGGAGTTGGTTGCGTAGGTATGTTTGTTGTTTCTTGTTGATGTTGATGTTGATGTTGATGTTGATGTTGATGTTGATGTTGATGTTGATGTTGATGTTGATGTTGACTATCAATAAGAAGGAAAAAAAGTATCTTCTTTAGAACTTCCTATTTTCTTTTTCCTTGCCCGTAGCGTCTTGACCCCCTCCCTCCTCCCTCTCCCACCTATCCATATTCTATTATAATTATGTTGTCTGAATGAATATTAATACTGGTATACAGCTAGGAGAAGGAAGGAAGGTGAATCAAGGTAAAGATAAAGGATTGGATTATGTATTGTTATGCAAACTAAACCATCATAGTGTTTAAACATAAACTACTCGACACACACACACAACTTCCAAACACACACAAACTCATAAAACACAAGATACAACATACATGACATTCACATTGCACAATGCAGTTTTGCTAAACATTATGCTTAACAATGATGACGAGATTCAACGTCAAAAAAAAGTATAACAATAATTTGACAATACGTCAAAAGTTTGCAAAAAAAAGTTTCCTTTCCTGGAATCTCCAGCTACATGTGTTCGATCTAAAGCCCAAAATGTTTAAATGTTTTTGGTTAATTTGTTATTGCTAAATTTCTTAAATACTATTTTTTTGCAAATTTAGAATAAGAGGCGTAGTCAGGGTGGGGGGCCAGACCAGACCCGGACCAGTAAAATCTATGGATTTCAGGGGATTTTTAGGCCCCAACTGAGCCCCTCGGGAAAAAAATGTAAGCCCCACCCTACGCCCTTGTCTACAACACTTTATTTTATTTTTTCCTCAATTTTAACACTCAGAAATTTTAAATTTTGTCTAAATAAAGTTTATTTGTTTACAATATATTTAATATTTTTTATTTGATATATCTAAGTTATCTCTGAAGATATATATTCTGAATATAATATATCTAAGTTATCTCTGAAGAAGTATATTCTGAAAGAGGGGGGTCAAAGAATCATATACGAGGAATGGGCAATCTTCCTTCCCCTTTATTTACTCTTTTTACACTTGCGATAACATTATCATAAAAACAATTTTTACATATTTTTCTTAAAATATTCTACATACTTGCTTCTCTCTCTAAGTGGGAATTTGTTTTAATATTTTGCAATTAACTGTCAGTTCAACTAATATATTGCCTCGGATTCGCAAAATATTCCCAAAAACATTAAATTCAATTCACACTTTTCTCCCAGTTTATAATGATAATTTTGAAACTAAAGCAGGGAAATAAACTGAACGTTCATTCGGTAATTCAATACTTATATGTTCTTCAAGAGAGTTAGAACTGTGTAAACAGCTGATACAATGTTAGAAAAAACTTTTGTTCGGGATACCGAACATACCGAACTTACCGAAAGCTTTAGGCAAGAGAACTACTGCCCCCCCCCCCTCCTGTGTACACGCCTGAGTGTAGTCCACAATCTTCTGAAAACTGTTCTTGGGTTCATACAGAAAGAAAATACAGTTTCTTTCTTTCAAAAATATACAAAAAAACGCACAAAAATATATATTTGCGAATAAAATTTTTTTTTGAATCATCATAAAATGATATCCTATCTGGAGTGCATATCTCTGCTAGCTCACACATATATGGTAAACTCAAAGACGCGAGCATCTAAAAGTACATCACGTGATCACGTAGAGTTGCATGCTTTAACATCTTGCATTCGGAGATATATCCGAGCCTTACACGAGCCTTCTACAAGATATCCAAAACCAAATGCAAAATGAACGCCTGTCTGATTCGTCCTAAAAAGCATAGATTAGGTTTAATGTTAGACCTGCAGATTATAATTCTATATAATTATGCTTGTTCCAGCTGCATACTGTCAGAATCAGTATATATTCAAATCCATTTAGGTTGAGTACCATATTAATAGGATTAAATCAAATTAAATATATCTACACAAAAAAATGCGTTTTATATTCTTCTGGTATAAACAGTCGTGTATTATCTAGGATTAATACTAATCCGGGATTAATACTAATCCAGGATTAATACTAATCCAGGATTAATACTAATTCAGGGTTAATACTAATCCAGGATTAATACTAATCCAGGATTAATACTAATCCAGGATTAATACTAATCCAAGATTAATACTAATCCACGATTAATAATAATCTAGGATTAATACAATCCAGGATTAATAATAATCCAGGATTAATAATTATCCAGGATTAATAATAATCCAGGTTTAATAATAATCCAGGACAAATGATAATCCAGGATTAATAATAATCCAGGATTAATAATAATCCAGAATTGTTAGTAATCCAGGATTAAAACTAATTCAGGATTAATACTAATCTAGGATTAACAATAATCCACGATTAATACTAGTCAAGGATTAATACTAATCCAGGATTAATAATTATCCAGGGTTAATATTAATCTAAATAGGATTGAACCTGATCCTGAATTGTATGTAAAAAGAAAACCAAATTCAATCCAAGAATTTTCAGAGAAAAAAATCCATTTTTAAACTTGCACAATTTCGCTCTTTATAAAATGAGGTTCGGATAACTAACTAATTTGACTCCAGTAAGTCCTACGTTAGAATCAATTTATCTGCTCTGAACCCTGCCTAGATCATGATCTGATGCAGGATTGAATACATGAAGATTTATCAATCCAACACTGCAGGAATAGATCAGTTTTATCCCATTAACCCACCGGAGCAGACTTCATTCAACAATTTTGCAACCTTTCATAGATCGTGGGTTTCAATCCGTAAATATCCAGATCCATTCCTGGCTGATCACGTGCACATCCAGGCTAATCCTAGTACAGAAGGTTATCATGTAGTAAGATAGTTTTAGAGAGAGATAAGATTCTCCGGGAATAAGTATTTACCTGGGATTTCAGGATATAGACCGACAGAAGTAGGTGTAAATAGGTGGGAAGGAAATGAAGGACGGGTGAGGTGAGATAACGCCTTGATTCTCCTGATATAGAGGTGTAGAGTTGAGATAGAAAGGAGATAAATAAGAAACCTATGAAGGGGGGGTGGGTAGTAATCATGTATCTAATATCCGTTTCTTTCAATCTTCATTCGTCTCTGTCATCTTATTTTCGTCAAACTTCCTCCGTATTTTTTCTTTTCTTTTCCATAACTGATTAAAAACTGTAATGAAAGATTACTAGTCAATGTTTATTTTCAGTTACAAGCCTCCTATTTCTCCCTCATTTCTCGACTTTATCCTATTTTAGTCCATTTTCCTTTTCTATAAGTTTCTTACCTTCTCTATCCGTCTCTATCCTTCTCTATCCGTCTTCATCCTTCTCTATCCGTCTTCATCCTTCTTTATCCGTCTCCATCCTTCTCTATCCGTCTTCATCCTTCTCTATCCGTCTACATCTTACTCAACCTTACAGCATACTTCTCTTTCCGTGTTATCCTTATAAAAACTTCTCCATCCTTCTCTTTCTTTATCGTTTATCCCTTCAATTTATACCTTTCTACTTCCGTCCCTCTCATATGTCTGTCAAATTGTCCAGAAAAAGACAGCTTTATTTATCCTTTAACTCCTAGAGTCAAATACTTGACCTTAGAACCAGGGCTCAATATTCTCTTATTCGTTGAATCAGGTTATATGATCATGTAAAATAAAAAAAAATGTAAACCTCGGGGAACCCGCTTATAAATCCCCCCCACGACATTTTTTTATATCTCCTGAGAACCTTACACTAACAGAATTATTATGAATTGATTTTAAAGGATGGGTTGACAGCTCCGAACCGTTGCATGAACCTGAACCCCGAATATCAGCTTAAATACCCCTGGAATCTGATCTCATCTCAACTCAATTTGAACTCAAACTTCATCTCAGACCCCAACCTCAACTTCAACCTCGACTCAAACCTGCACTCCAACCTCAACTCCAACCTCCACTCCAACCTCAACTCCAACCTCAACTCCAACCTCAACTCCAACCCTCAACTCTAACCTCAACTCCAACCTCAACTTTATTAAACTCAACTTCAACCTCAACTCCAACCTCAACTTTATTAAACTCAACTTCAACCTCAACTTCAACCTAAACTCAAACCTCAAGTCCAACCTCAACTTTATTAAACTCAACTTCAACCTCAACTTCAACCTCAACTCCAACCTCAACTCCAACCTCAACTCCAACCTCAACTTTATTAAACTCAACTTCAACCTCAACTTCAACCTCAACTCCAACCTCAACTCCAACCTCAACTCCAACCTCAACTTCAACCTCAACTCCAACAACAACTTCAACTTCAACTCCAACCTCAACTCCAAACCTCAACTCCTACCTCAACTCCTACCTCATCTAACCTCAACTTCAACCTCAACTCCAACCTCAACTCCAACCTCAACTCCAACCTCAACTCCAACCTCAACTCCAACCTCAACTCCAACCTCAACTGGAACCTCAACTCCAACCTCAACTCCTACCTCAACTCCAACCTCAACTCCAACCTCAACTCCAACCTCAACTTCAACCTCAATCAGGTCAAATGATGTCTGAGATTTAGCCGTGTGGAAGTTTATTGGAAACAAGCAACCAAGACAATATACAGATTTATTTGTAGTTTGACAGTATTGTCGCAAAATACTAATTCATACTAAATCTAATTTTAAAGCTTTTACTTTGAATTGATTCAGAAACTTTGGAAGCAGTGTTTAGATTAGTAACTGTAAACATTAGGTCTAATGCTAACCACAAATCCCAGTAAACTGACAAAAGGCAAGATATATTCTAACATTAAGATATTTAAATACAGATAATAATTATAAATACTTTGGTTAAACCAAACCAGACTAATTACTTGTACGAGTTTATTTCAGTAGAATAAGAATAAGATTATTACAAATCTACTCCAGCTTCTCGGTTCTCTATAGTATCTTTAAGATAAAGGAGACTCTGAATAAAAGAAACTCCAAGGCTTATAAAAAGTGTCTTAAATATCTTTTTTTTTTTTTTTTCAGATAATTTTCTTTTCTTTATCGCATACGCCTAAAGTACTTTTCTTGGTTTACTTCTAGATATAGCTTGTAGGTTTTACTCCAAGTTTTAGCTCCAAGGCTCAGCTTCTCGATTCAACTTCTAGGTTCATCTTCTAGGATCAAAGCATAGGGTTATCTTATAAGATCAGATATTAGGTTTATTTTTTAGGTTCAAATCGTAGGTTTATCTTCTAGACTTAGACCATAAATTTATCTTCTAGGATCGGATCATAGATTTATCATCTACGATCAGATCATAGATTTATCTTCTAGGTTCGGGTCGTAGATTTATTTTCTAGGTTCAGATCATAGATTTTCCTTCTAGGTTCAGATCGTAGGTTTATCTTCTAGGCTTAGATCATAGATTTATCTTCTAGGTTCAGATCATAGATTATCTTCTAGGTTCAGATCGTAGGTTTATCTTCTCAGTTCAGATCATAGATTTATCTTCTAGGATCAGATCATAGGTTTATCTTGTAGATTCAATTTCTAGGTTCAGATCCTAGGTTTATTGTCTAGGTGTTGCTTCTGTGTTTAGTTCCTGTTCAGCTTCTCGGTCTATTAAACTGTTTAATTCTCAAGGTTTGAATCTTGATGAAAAATAAACATAATTACAATCTTTGTTCTTCTTGTGTTTGGGGGTATCATTAATTCAAGCTTCCAACCCTTCAGCGTGCATGTTGTATACTTTGAACTAATTGGTCCAGTGTTCTTGCTCTCTATCTTATATACCATAATCATTCACTTGTCCTTCTCATACAGTAGGATTAAATAAGCATTCAAGTTAAGTTAAAGATGAGAAATATAAAATATGAATTCTCTTTAAAGATAAGAAATATAAAATATGAATTGTCTTTAAAATTAAAAAAATGTTTTAAAATATACGGCATGTGCAGTTTCTTCCATATTGTTATTAAACATTGCATGTATTCCTTTTTACAGTGGGGATACAGAACAAAGTGTACATTTTTACAGTGATATTGTGTTTAGTGTACGGTTGAGATAATGACAAAGTTTACAGTTTTTACAGTTTACTATGTTCAGTTTACAATGGGGATATAGAACAAAGTGTATACTTCTTACAGTGTACTAAGTTTAGTTTACAGTGGGAATACAGAACAAAGTGAACAGTTTTTACAGTGTACTAAGTTTAGTTTACAGTGGGGATACAGAACAAAGTGAACAGTTTTTACAGTGTACTAAGTTTAGTTAACAGTTGGGATACAGAACAAAGTGTACAGTTTTTACAGTGTACTCAGTTTAGTGTACAGTGGAGGTATCGCACAAAGTTGTTTGGTTTTTACAGTGTACTAAGTTTAGTGTTAATTATGTATAGTTTATACATAGCAAGTCGTGTAACGTTTACCTTGAACACATAATGTTAATGCATGATATACATTATAAAAATATGTTATAAAGACTCAAACATCCTTGTACATCTTTACAAAGAACCAAGCTTAAAATTGTTTTTATGAAGATTGAAAGATATTATTAAAACAAATTAGTTTGCTGCATGTATGCATATTCTTCAATTAAAAATTAATTGTCTTCTTAATCTTTGTTTTCCAGTGCCGTATGGAAACCATGCGCGCCTGAGCAGTTAATTAATTAAAAACTGATTTCGTAATCCGGGTAATTAATTAATCCAGCATCAGCTGTTTAATCAGTAATTATGAATGAAGAAATTCTGCAAGTATTTGAGCAAGGATAAAATTAATTAACCAAGCTCAGGAATTTAATTACTGCCTGGCTTCAGGAAAATTGTGCAAAAGAATTTCCAAAAGTTTCCAGATTGCAACAATTAACATTCTAACAAGAATGTTCGATGCATGTGGACATGAATTCAAACCTCTTTTATTTCATGATTTTAATTTTATTCTTTCTTGTTTATCTAAATTCTTTTGCAATTATGTATTTTTCTTAATTAGATTATTATCAAAATCATAATCATTATTATTATTATATTTATTATAATTTTTATTCTCATTATTTTCATTATTATTATTATTATTTTCATAATTATTCCTATATGACTAGTAGTAGTACATAGTAAATAATTATTAAAAATATGTTCTAGTTCCATTAGTAAAGCGACCTCCCACCGCCCTGAGAAAAAAACGTGTAAATATGAGATATTATTTTATCCCCTGCCTCTGTTTGTTTATATACTGAGTTAAGTGAACCTAATTACAGATATATGTTTACAAAGATTTGTGAGGTGGGGGTTCAAATTTAGGTTGGGAAGAGAAGAGAAGGAAAGGGATGTAAGTAGAGAAGGAAAGTGAGGAGTGGGTTGAGAAGAGAAGAGAAGGATAGGGGAGGGCGGAGAAGAGTATAGAAGGATAGGGGAGGGCGGAGAAGAGTATAGAAGGATAGGGAAGGGTTGGGAAGAAAAAGATAAGAGGTGTAGTTGGGAAAAAAGAGAAGAATAAGGATGGGTTGAGAAGAGAAAAGAATGAAAGGAGAGGGTTTAAAAGAGAAGAGAAGGATCGTATAGGTTTTAACAAGAGGATTGGGAAGAAAAAGACAAGATGGGGTTGAGAAAAAAGAGAAGAATAAGGATGGGTTGAGAAGAGAAAAGAATGAAAGGAGAGGGTTGAAAATAGAAGAGAAGGATCGGATAGGTTTTAACAAGAGGATTGGGAAGAGAAGGATGGATGGAAAGTATTTTAAAGTAGGTGTGGATATTGGAGGAAACGAAAAGGATGGAAAGTAAAAAGGAAGGAGATTTTAAGGACGGGAGGAATGAGAAGGAGGCCCCCCCCCCCCCCATAAG